GCGACCTCTACGTGGCCGACGCGTACAAGGGGCTGATGCGGGTAGCGCCGGGCGGCGGGGAGGCCACCGTGTTGGTCAACCAGGTTGACGGTTATCCTCTGCGCTTCACCAACGGTGTTGACGTTGATCAAGTTACGGGAAAGGTCTACTTCACCGATAGCTCGATGAACTATCAAAGGTCGCAGCATGAGATGGTCACTCGCACAGGAGACTCGACGGGCCGCCTCATGAGCTACGACCCACGGACATCGGATGTCACGCTGCTCCAGGCGGGCATGACGTACCCCAACGGCGTCGCGCTCAGCGCCGACCGCACCCACCTCGTGGTCGCATCTACTGGACCATGCAAGCTACTGAGGCACTGGATCAAAGGGGTCAACGCAGGCACATCCGAGCCTTTTGCCGACCTGCCCGGCTATCCAGATAACGTGAGGCCCGACACCAAAGGAGGCTATTGGGTGGCGTTGCACCGCGAGAAGAATGAGTTGCCCTTTGGTCGTGATAGTCATCGTCTCGCTGTCAGGGTCGGTAATGATGGGAACATAGTCGAGGAGATGAGAGGGCCAAAGAAGGTGAGGCCCACCGAGATTATGGAGAGAAGCAATGGCAAGATCTACTTGGGTTCGGTAGAGCTTCCTTATGTCGGCGTTGTTAAGCGCAAGTAGAGAACTATTATAGTAGATGCATCGGATGCCTTTTTGTTTCTTGTTCTTACCACCTAATGTAATTTTCCATTTGTTTTTTTTTGTCAGACGGACTATTGTAATCCAGATTTTCTACCAGCAAATAATTATTTGTTCTTTCCTCCATATTAATATTTATAAAAGCTAAATTCTATCTATAGAAGTTGTTCTTGTCAAGAGCCATCCTGCATGCTATTGCTAGTGATAGAGCAGGGACGCACCATGCACTCATGGACTATTGTAATACACATTTTCTATCAGCAAATAATTATTTGTTCTTTCCTGCATATTAACGTGTATAAAAGCTAAATTCTATCATGTTCTGTAAGAAGCAAGGCGCGAAAAACTACGTATAGAAGAAGCACTAGACTCACCAATGATGCAGCATTTGTTGTGGCCTTCTGCCATATGATCGATAGTGGGTATGACACTGCTATCCGTCTAGCTAGGTTTCGGTCACCTCGTCGGCCAACGAAAGGCCCAAGCATCCATCAAACTATACCCGTGCTGGCTCTCTGGCATCTCGATCAACTTCAACGAGCACTACTTACTTTCGTCCATCAGCCAGGTCCGCCGTGTACGGGGACCTCGCATGCTACAACGTCGGCCGGCACGGGGACATCTGCCGTTGTCTACAAGAACGTACGGTGACCACACCCAAACAGCTTTTGATTGTGTCATTCTAGTATAGTCACTGGATAGATCAAACTCGATCGACATATACTATTGCTTGATGACAATCGTTACTAGTATAATATTTCCCGGCCTTTGTACGGCGGCGCCCTGGCCTCCCCCGACCCTCGTTGAAGCGCCGCACCGCCGCGAGCGTTTCGGACATGGCCGAGTCCGGCGTCACACATAAGAAACCCACCATCTCCGCGGTCACCTTTATCTCGCCGGTCGCCGAGGCTCGTCAGGACGGCGTCGCGAGGCCGGTGAGATTGATGACCGGGACGGAGAACTCGTGGTGACTATGGTGAAGAGTTGGTGTGTTGTCGAGGGGAAGGGACTCGGGTGGGTTGTGGATGATGGCGGGGATTGTGTCCAAATCGCCGTCGATACCCTTGACGCGGGCTTTGGTGTTGTCGAAGGCGTGTAGCACGCGGAAGTGTCCTAGCAGGCCTTGTATAATTGGAGTTAGGTCGTGCAGCATATGTGTGTGTGAGTGTGTGAGTGAAGTAGTCGTGTTGCTCTGCTGACCGGGATTGCAACAAGTTTAAATTTCGATCGATGCAAAGGAAATCCGTGCAACTTACTGTACGTATGTGGTTTGGTCTCCATATCAAACACGGATAGTTGAGAAAACCACTGGTTTGATACGAGATATCGAGGGAACTTATTTGCCGCTATAATCGCTACAGTTGGGGACGAAGCCATGGACATCCAAAGAGCCAAGTATGACACCTAGACTATTGTACACACGCAAAAACAAGTTCCCGATGTTCACTTCCCTCCCTGTCGCCGGAGCAGTCGACAGAGGGGAGCAAACCCCCGATGTCGGTTGAGTCTGGGGTGTGTGCTCCTTCTTTTTCTTGGGTCGCCTCTAGGATCTATGGTTTCATGGGCCTCCTTTAGGTTGCGCTTGGGTTTTTTCCTTTGGATCTACCATAGAATATTAGCAATTGTCATGCTAATATTCATCAACCAGAGGAATGGGCACACACTATAATGGATCCTACATGAAAAGCAAGACTGTGTATTGTTAGATAAACAGGTGCATGTGTTTACATACATAAAAAGGAAACAACAAAAAGAAACGGAAAGCGCCGCGCCAAGCGTCCTAAGTCCAGGCGTATAATCACGCGAGCGCACGCGCTAATGTGTGCGTACATCAATGCTCTATCAATTTCCTGTATTCTAGAAGACAACTTTAGATCCACCTTATAAGGTGGTCTCTACCTCCTTGCCTCGGCGGGGTGGGACTAAACTTTGTGCTGTGCGTCTTGCCTTCCACCAGAATTTTTCAATGGGCCTCAGGCATGATGCATCGCATGTGAGAGACTGACTCGTCATCCACTGGCCCATGCTATGTGTGATAGTTAGTTGGCCCATCAATTAAATGTACGAGCAGTAGCAGTAGCAGTAACATTGAAGCTACAACCTTCCGTCCTGGTTGCCTTGGAAAAAAATGCTCAATGCTGTAGATTGGCAGATGTTTTGCCATTGAATAAATCAATGCCATCCATATTGTTGACTATTGGGGGATGCTTTGTCACTCCACAAATCAACGCCATCTTTTTCGTAAGAGTCATCTTTACTTATGGTAGTACAACAGACATGAAAACTAATAAAAATTATATCTAGATCCATAGACCACCTAATGACATAATGTATAAGTGTGTCAAGACCCTTAATATTACTCCCTACATTTCTAAGCATTATTCATTTTAGATATTTCCCTAGGGACTACATAGAGATGTATATAGACATCTTTTAGAGTGGGATTCATTTATTTTGCTCTATATGTATTTCATATTGAAATTTATAAAATGACTTATATTTACGAACGGAGAGAGTATCTACTAAACATAAGTAGATATCAACTAATGGTTGACTACGCAAAGTGTCAACACCCTCGATATTTATTTGTGTGCTAGTTGCAGCACGGCCACGTGGCGGTTGTCGGACGTCACCGCAAATTTTTCGCTTTGGAGATGAATAATTAGAAATCGATGTTCTAAAAAATGAATTTTTAATAATGTGGTCTACAGACTTTTACTTTTTTTGGTAATGATCTTCAACATAACTACTTTTTCAAACACTTTTGCTATTGTTTTGGTCTCTAATTTGTATAGCTCAGGAAAACATACTCCCTGATTAAGACAATAACCACATTAACTTGGTCTGGAGACTTTGAGTTAATGCCTTTGAGTATATAACTATTAGTTGTCAACCCGTGCCTCTGCACGTTCTAGCACTTTTAATAATTAATAAATTCAATTTTTTTTGTTGGCAATGATATCAGAGAATAATAGGATCTTTTCATGAATTCCTATTCAGAACGGCGTGCAGTATTTTTATCATGATTTTCGAATGATCAAATGTGTCCCATATATACACATTAATCCGTTTCATTGCAAGAGACCACAAAGTTGTCATTGCAAAAATATGAACGTGCAAGTTTCTTGAAATATGCAATTTTATAACGCACATGATGCTGCTGGGAACAATGAATGCAAAGTTATCGGTCGGTCACTACTCACTAATAGAAAATCTGAAACGTTAGAGCTAAATCTTCAGAAATATAAGTAATATGTGCATGTCTTATTCAGTTCTAACCTTATAAGTTCGGAAACTATTGTCATGTTACAAGTTCCGCAAATATAAGTAATATTTCCATTGGTTTGAGTTGATATTGGAAGAAGTAGAAACATAACTGGCGCCGGCCGGCTGACCGAAAGATGTATTTTCTTTTTGCCATCATTTGTTCAGTTTTACATGCACCTGCACTTTTTGGCATCGGAAAAGTTCCTTCATATTTGTAGACAAGTAATACTCTTTGCAACAAGACTTGTCGGGAAAGACTATAAGAGTAGGTAGAGATACTTCAAGGCAAGAATTTCAAAAGCATAAAAATTTACATGAATGAACATGCCATATGATGTTTTTCATGCTCACTATAGTTATCTCCCCGCTCCAAAAAAAATACTCTGTGAAAGTAAGCACACGAGACGACCCGATGCTTGGAGAGGAACCATGGGAGGCACGGCCGACAACGTGCTGGTGTTCCATCTGGATGGCCCACTGCATCCCCAGAATGTGCATGCTACACCTCAGACAGGTCGAGATGGCGTTGTGAGAGGAGATGGGCGACAATGGCAATGGGATGGGAGGGGGATCAGACAAGCCACGATGCCATCGCCAGTTAGTCACCACTAGTAACGGCTCAGGTGGGGGTAAATCAGGACTGGGGTTGGGAAGGAAACCCAGGGCTTCGACCTTGACCTAGTGAGATGACTGTTGGGCCTGGCCGCTGGGCCGATTCTCAGTCTAACCAAGCGAACTGGTCAAAATCTGTACCAGATTGGATGGGCTTTCATGCAATATCTACTGACCTGGCCGGTAAAATATACTAGCAGGCTAGTATCGTTAGGTCGGTCTAGAGTAGTCCTTGAGCGGGCAAAAAATTCATCTTGGTATGGCCGCCCTTACTCCCTCTGGTCTGTGCCGCCCGAACTCACGTGCGTGCTTAAGGATCACCGATGCGGCGGCGGCCTCTGGTTTAGTGGGCGCCGTCACGCCGGAACACACGGGCCCTGATCTAAGGTTTGCCGGCGGAGCTCAGTGTAGTCTGCCTACTCCCGTGCATCCGTGCCAAAAAAAACCTTTATGAGATACTTTTCTTGGCGGGGCGGGGTAATTTTGTTTATTTTTGTTTAAAATCGGCATATTTTTCGTTGAAGAACACAAAATATGGATGGTGCTTTTTGTCCGGAATTTCAGTTATAGCTGAATTGTGTATGTGTACGCTACGTACGTACTCCCTCTGTTCGAAATTACTTGTCGCAGAGATGGATGTATCTAGACGTATTTTAGTTTTAGATACATCCATTTTTTGCGACAAGTAATTCCGAACGGAGGGAGTACTAGCTAGGTACGTTAGTGAAAACAAGCAAAGAGAGGGGTTTTGGTCGGAACGGCTGTTGGCCTCGTGGCGACAGCGAGGCGACGACGATGAAAATAATAAAAATTATATCTAGATCCATAGACCACCTAACGACAAAATATATAAGTGTGTCATGACCCTTAATATTACTCCCTACATTTCTAAACATTATTCATTTTAGATATTTCCCTACTGATTACATAGAGATGTATATGGACATCTTTTGGAGTGAGATTCATTTATTTTGCTCTATTCGTATTTCATATTGAAATTTCTAAAAGGACTTCTATTTAGGAAAGGAGAGAGTATCTAGTATCTACTAAACCAAATTAGATATCAATTTATGGTTGACTACTCAAAGTGTCAATACCATCGA